TTTATTTCATTATTAACATTATTATCATGTGTCTCGTCTATATATATAATATATATCGATCATTCTGACTGACAACTATTATTGTTGCTTCTTTGTTGTAGTTGTTTTCAGGTAATAATTAGTGAAATATTGTTTTATTCTTATTTTATTGTTTTATACACACGTAAATTACTGATTATTGTTCTTATTTCGGTTTGTTATGCAGGATCATAACAATAATATTTCCTATTTTCCACAGAAAAAGTACTCGTTTTCAGAGATCGTAGCCCCTGGAATGACTGAATTGTTGCATATTGCACGTAGGTGGAGAAAATTGGTTGTGTGAATTATGTACTTAAGTGGGATGAAGACGTTCTTATTTCTCGTGCAACAAAATATCTGTGGAATGTTCACCGGAAAGTGTTTCATCATTGCATAATGACCCTGACCTTAAGCAGCGTGGCTGTTAGTTGTTTTTTCCTGTTCTCTTTTATTTTTCGAGTTTTTGTTGTTGTTCGTTGTGCGTTTTTGTTAGTTGGAATATTGTTTTTGTTTGTGGTGTTGTTGATATATTTGTTGATCAATGACGGTAATTGATAACAGTGATGATGATAGTAGAGATTAATAGTAATCATAAGCATCTTAGCATTATTATTTTTTTTTTATCATTGAAGTTGTTTCTTCTCATGCGGTATCACTATTGAGACCACGAAGGGTGGAACCTACCATGGCATGCGCCCACCAGCAGCGGAATTGCAGAGGCGAGCTAAGGAGAGAGAAAGAGAGAAAGAAAAGAAGAGAAAGGATGAGAGAGACAGAGAGTGTCGAGAGAAGAGGAGAAAGAAAGAGAAAGGGAAGAAAGAGAGAGAAAAGAGGAAAAGAGAAAGGACAGAGAGTGACTTGAGAGAAGAGAAAGAGAGAGAGACAGAGTTTGTGAGTGTGAGGCAGAGAGAGAGAGAGAGAGACAGAGAGAGAGAGAGAGAGAGAGAGAGAGAGAGAGAGAGAGAGGAAGGAGAGAGAGAAGAAGAGAGAAGAGAGAGAGAGAGAGAGAGAGAGAGAGAGAGAGAGAGAGAGAGAGAGACAGAGAGAGAGAGAGAAAGAAGAAGAGAGAAAGCGAAGGGCGAGAGGCCGCGCATCCCCCGCCGTCGGATGGTGACCAGGGCCGGGCGTCTGCGGGCCTGGTCAGCGCGCAGACAGGACACGCCCATTAGCTCCTTCGCCTGCTCTGAGTGCCGTCCGCAGGCGCCGTTGAGAGGACACAAGCCGAACGGCTTGGGTGGGATGGGTGGGCGGGGTTTGGGGGTGGGCGTGGGTTCTCTGGCGTTTCGTGGAGAGGGATGTTATTTTGTCTCTTCTTTTTTATTCTATTTATTTTTTATTATTTATTTCTCGTTCTTTTTTCTCTCTATTTTTTTCTTTGTCTTTTATTACTTTTTTTCTCGTTCTTTATTCTCTTTACTTTCTTTTTCGTTTTACTTTTTTCTTTCTTTCTTTCTTTCTTTTTTTTTGCGGTTCGATCTTCTCGTATATCGTCCCCAGTTTCTTGTTGCTCAGCTCATATGTTGCCGCATTTCGAGTTTTTGTTGTTGTTGTTGTTGTTGTTGTTGTCCTCCCATCATTTTCGCTTCGATGTTTCCTCTTCCACTGGAACTTTCAATACAGCCTTTTCTTTCTTTTGCTCAATTTTTTTTTTCTCTCATTTTTCCCTTTCCTCATCCCTCTCTCCAACACACCCTCACCATAACCTTTCTAACATCACCCCCTTGCCATGATCTCTCCCGCATAACCCTACCTTCACCATACACTCCCCTCCCCATCACCACATCCTCACCCATCCACCATTCACCCATACACCACCATACCACCACCACCACTATCACTATACTACCATTACCATCCCACCACCACCACCACCATATCACACCTACCCACCACCCACCATACCACCACCACCACCCCTATACCAACCACCACCCCACCATACGCATCTACCTCCACCACCACCCGCCATACCATCACACACCCACCATACACCACCACTACCACCATACTCACCACCCACCATACCATCACCTACCATACCACCACCACCACCACCATACCACACCAACCACCGCACCACCACCACCACCATACCACCACACCACCACCACCCACCATACCACACACCGCACCACACCATACCACCACCACCACCACCCCCATCCCACCACACCACCACCCACCCATACCACTCACCAACCATACCATCACCACCACCACCTAACACCACACACCACCCACCTACCACCCACACCACCACCATACCACCACCACCAACCACCACCACCATACCACCACCACCACCATACCATCCACCACCCACCCACACATACCACCACCACCACCCACCATACCACCACCACGCACCCACCATACCACCACCCACCAGCCACCATACCACCACCCACCATACCACACCCCACCATACACACCACCACCACCACCAACCACCACACCCACCACCACCACCCCACCATACCACCACCCACCATACCACCCCCACCATACCACCACCCACCATACCACCATACCACACACCCACCATAACACCAACCCACCATACCACCACCCACCATACACCACCACCACCCACCATACCCACCACCCACCATACCACCACCACACCACCCACCATGCACCCCAACCACACCATACCACCACCACCCCCCACTAACACTATCTACCACCACCACCCACCCTACCACCACCACACCCAATGTAACTTCTCTCTCCACCCTCCCCTTTCCCTCCGCCTCCCGCCCCCGCCCCTGCCCATGCCCATGCCCGTTTTCTCTTGTTGCTATTATGGCCCGGGCGGCGAGATGCAACCCAGGCGATTATGAGTCACCGATGCCCGAGCGTTGTGGTCACCATCACCATCACCATCACCATCATCATCATCAGCAGGAGCGCATAAATCTCTCGGCGGTCATCCCGCTCCGGTTTTTTTTTTTTTTTGCTGGTCAGGGGCTGGCGAGGTCGTCTCCGGAGGGAGGTCATCTCGGGAGGTCATCTCGGGAGGTCATCTCGGTCATCTCGCCTAATGGAACGCTTCGCTAATACTTTCTGGCTCCCTGCTTGCGGAGGGGCGAGGCTTCGCGGGGCCTCCGTGCGCGGTGGTATGCAGGCATGGGTGGAGGATCTGATCTACGTGTTTTAGTTGTGTGTGTGTGCGTGTGCGTTTACGTGTGCGTGTGTGTGTGTGTGTGTATATGTGTGTGTGTTTGTGTGAGTGCGTGTGTGTGTGAGTGCGTGCGTGTGTGAGTGCGTGCGTGTGTGAGTGCGTGTGTGTGTGTGTGTGTGTGTGTGTGTGTGTATGAGTGTGCGCGCGTGTGTGTGTTTGTGTTCGTCTGTACGTCTGTCTCCCTGCGTGTGCGTGAATGTCTATGCTTGCATGAAGTGTCTTCTCTGCCTTGTCTCTGTGTATATCTGCAGGCATACGCGCTTGGAAGCAACTGCACGTAAACGCATTCGAATATTCATGAGCGTTTTCCAATAGCCTTCACTCCATTCTAATGCCCAGTGTTAAATCGCTAGAAGTAAATCGAGAACAACATTGCATTGAGTTGCGTCCTATAATTTCTCAGACCAGCTGTTCTCGTGTTCGTTTTCTTTGGCGAGGACTTCATACTTTTTTCCATCGACATCACGAGCGGTCGTGATCTCGGTTCGAAATACGGTTCTTAAGCTGATATCATCATCACCATCATCACCATATTATCATGATCATCACCACCATTATCATCATATCACCATTATCATCACCATTATCATCATCATCACCACCACTATTATCATCATTATCACCATCACCATCATCAGCACCAACACAAGTAGTTCGTGTAAAAAAGACGAATATAACAGTGTGTGTAAGAGAGTAACGGAGAGGCACATTGTTTATATTCAGACACATATTTGTACATCTAGAGAGTCTGTGTATTAGTTTGCATGTGTCAAAGAGCGACACGTTGGACCTACTCGCAGAAGCACACAAAACCAGGGATGTATACGTGCTTGAGATAATTTTTAGGAATATACAAACGCACGTAAGACAAACACAGGTTATTATACAAGCACACAAGCGCTCGCCTGCTCGCACACACATACACACGCGCTTACACTTCCATTCACTCACATTCACACTTACTCACTCAGTCACAAAAGTCATTCATTATTCACACCTCACAACACACACAGACACACACACCACACACACACACACACACACACACACACACACACACACACACACACACACACACACACACACACACACACACACACACACAC